TTTAAGTACACTGTTGACAGAAATAACTCTGCGGTGACACTCGGATCCTCCCACCTCCTCATGCCTATGGTAAGGAAATGAGAAGCATGAGAGAAATTTAACAGGAAAGAAAATTAAAAATCATAACCTCCCTAACATCCATATCAGTTCTCTTTTTAAAATAATTTCTCAATAGCAAAATTGTGCAATTCTTACTGCATTGCAAGCTCCTATTTATCTATAGGTTCTCAAAACAGCAGCTTGAGGAAGAATGACACAAAATTACATATGCCTTCTGTGGCTTAAAACAAAGTTTAGTTCTATCATACTATTCAAAGCTCTTAATCACGTTGCTCAACACAGCGGTTGTGGCACCATCAACATTCCATCAGCACCTTAGAGGAGATTTCAGAGTCAGTAACATCACTGGAAGCAATTTCTGCCCTTGAACTGCTGGTGTCTCTGTATGAAACACACAGCTTTAGCTTGCAGAAAGCATTGCTGAGGTGTGAGAAATACGCTCTTTTCAAGAAGGGTCTTGGATGGACAGACCACAGAGATCCCAGGAAGCACAATGTCCTTGTGTCTATTAACACCTAGTGATTGCATCTTTCTGAGCATCATGCTGGCTTCTTGGCTGGCAGATGTAGACTGTAAATGTATGAACAGCATTCACTAACCTGGTAAACTTTAATGGCGGAAAATATCTGGCAGAAATTTCCAAACCGCAATGGTGGCAAGCACTTTTTATTTTTGAGCTGCAGCACCCAGATGCAATTTGTATGCTGAAGTATGTATGTTTGATTTAACATTTTACTGCTTTTGCTGTTCACCACTTCTTCTCTGAAGGGAAAGTGGAGGTGACAGTGCAAGTGGAGTCCTAGAGGGGACACACAGTGCACTGTTTGCAGGTATGGGAGACACAGAGGGACTGCTGCAACTAATGCTCAGCTTTAAAGGAAATGAAATCAGCAATGTTGCTATGGCAGTGTCCTCTCCCTTTCCTTGCTGAAGTAACAACCCTCTGCAGACATAACACATGACTTTTATACATGCCTAGCACAAAATTTCTGTATTTCAAGAAATACAGCTGCAGAGTTCTGTGCCTTGTAAGGTCGCTGTTGTAACAATGCACATTTTGCTGGCCTTTGGGGATCTGCTCTGACACAGTCACAAGGTTCSTAGACCATACGTCCTGTGGATTCATTTCAATCTTTTGCTCAGTTGACTGGGATTGCGGAAATTAGATGACCTCAGTCATCCCTTCTGTTCCTGCGCTCGTAAGGGGCTGGTTCTACAAACCCTTATGTGCAGTTTCTGTTGCGCTGTACACAAGCAATCTCCGGGATCAGTCTTCTGGGATACATTAATTGCCTTTGATCTGGATTATGCCTTTCCTAAGACATGTACCTTCCTAGAGGTGCAAGCCTCAGGTAAGCATAATTTACATTCCTGTGAGCTGTTGATATAATGGTAAAAACTACTTGAAAGTCTGACCTCTGCCAAAGTTCACTGAGCTGTAATGCTGGGCCAGGCAGCTGCTGCATGGCTTGTACTGCCTTCCTCAAACTCTGAGATCATGCCAAAATAACTGCTAGAGACAGAGGGTTTAGCAAAAAACCTTAGAACATTTGGATAGCTATGAAATTTAGAAAAAAAAAAAAACAAAAAAATCAAACAAAGCGTGAGACAAAAAGGCAGTAAGTATTCCTATTTAAAAATAAAAGGAAAAGAACAGTACTCTAAGCACTGAAACTTTCATCTGGCGCATCTCTCATCCTGACTAAATTGTGGGCCTAATGTATGAGAGAAAAATAGAAAATTGCCACATGTGCACAGTCACATAATAAGCAAATGTTAATTGATGTGCTTTGTTTGTGATAGCTCCTGCGAGATTTGCAATGAGCAAGGCTTTTCTGTACGGGCAATTCCACAGCATATGCTAGCACATCCAGGAAGAGTCATCATGTCTAAGTACTTTCTACCATCTGCTAGGAAAATGGAAATATTGAAAGATTTCTCTCAATTTACCCCAGTGCATTTATGTACGTGGCTCTGATTTCAGCCCTATCTCTTTTGATCCATGAAGCTAAATGCTGTGTTCTTTGTGGAGTTCTCTACTGCAAGTCTTTTGCAAAGAAAAATACATAAGTGGATGCATTGATACACAATAATAGACGTCCATGCACTGATACATAGAAAATATGCTGTATGGTTTCCTACCGGTAAAAGATGAAAGGATTTCTGATTGAGTCCACTTATCAATTCTTTGGTTTGTGCACTCACATTCACACTCTGCAGTTCAAGGACAGTAATTTTTTTTTTTTTTTTTTTACTGGCATGGATTCCTCAATCAGCTCAGTTTTTTAGATTTCCTATGTCCCCCTCTTCAAGCCTGGAAATGAGACACTTCTGTTCCCACCTCTGCCTGTCCTGTTGCTTTTGTGGTCTAAAATGGATTCTTGAATCCAGGTCTTGCTTCAAGGATCCCACAGCTGGTCCTTGCTACCTCTGGTTACAGTGGCTGATCTGTTAAATGAGGATGGTGGAAATTAACTCTATTCTGGGCAGTTCCAGAGATTTCCAACAGAATATGGGATGAATGCTGGTGGATAAGCATAATTTCGGTTTCTTAATGTAAGCATTTCAAGGTTCAAGTCTGAGATAATGATAAAAAAATGAGTAGGGCTGCTGCCAGATTTCCTTCTAACATAGTTTACTTCTCCTTTAATCATCATATTAGGCTGAATTAATTTGCTTTAAGAAGACTTACCTAGGCTCTCCATCTCAAAAAGAGTGTGTCATGAAAATTTTCACAAAGAAACATGGTCTCAGGCAAGGAGCAGCTCATGGTAACCCTAAACCAAACATGAGGGATTTTGTAAGCATGCAGAACATTTCAAGATAAACTATTTTGTCTGTAGAAATCATCTTTGTGCAAATGCAGGATCTATGCTCAAAGAGGCCAGCATGACACTTAGTTTTTTTTGTTTAGTTTCAATATAGCATTTAAATGTTACAATGCTGAAGCCTGAAGCTCATATTTTCAGACATCCAGCCCCCAATAATAGAATCTAAATTTGCCAGTTGGCTTCTAGAACCCTACTCAGTGGATAAATAGCACATCCATAGAGCTTTAAAAAACCCAAAAGAACTGCATACTACAATGAAAACCTTAATTATTTTCTTTGGTTGAGTCTGAAGTGAAGGACATGTGTGCAAACTCACCTCTCTCTGAATCTTAGGAATCTGACCCAGTGCTGCACCTACCTGAGGTGGAGTTTTTCAGTAGGCATAAGCCGATGCCTCTTTATATGCCTGCCAAGGAAGCTGGTAGTGCCATCCACCCTTGATTTCATGACTTCATGCCTGCAGCAGCCCAGCTGGATTAAGAGAGCTAGAAGTTCTTCACCCTTTTCAACCAGAAAACAACAAATCCCACATCTTCTGCGAGTAATTGTGATATTGCAAATTCCTGCAGTATTCATGTAAGTACTTTCATAGATCTATGTCAGGTCCATTGCAAACGTGAAGATAAAACAACCAAAAAGTAAAGGAAAGGGACAGCTGCTATGGTAATAGCATCTTTCTCATTAACTGCAGAGAAAAAGCTCCTGTATATTAGATTTGTGTCCAGAGGTATCTTGTGAACTCCAAGAGGAGAGTTATATTCTCTTAAAAATGAATAAGTATTTAATGGTATTTCTCACCTCTACTGCATAAGAAAGGTGGCACAAGCACAAACATACACTCAACCTCCTGTTGATGAGAAAAAACAGATGAAAACTTAAATGCAAATTCTCAACACAGAAGTAATTATCAAGAACTGATATAAACACTGGAAAAATCAGATTTATGGCTAAAGTCCTGACACTGCTCTAATGATATAATGATGTTTGGGAGAAAGCTTTTCTGAAAGAAACTAAAATGTTGACTACCTGAACAAAATTGCGGGAATAAGTTGATTACTCATTAACTTTCTTAATTGAGTTGATGTACATGCAAAACAATATTAATAAACACCTCACAAAAATAAACAGGTCTGAATGATGGTAAGCATGATTGACATGCAAACAGAAAGCAGCATGCTTTCTTCCATCTGCTTATCATTTCAAGCATTGATAAATAAATAAAATTAATTCTGACTGACTGGTAAAGGGCTGCATAAAGATTTATAATATTCAGTAAATAGTTTGTCATTGCTATTTGAAAGTAGATTTGACAGGCTACGACATGCTATTTACTTCCAAGAAAGAGCAATTATGTTGTGTACAGAAAAAGTGACTGATTWTAACATTACATGACATTTTTAAGCTAACAGCTTCAATTACTAGATCCAAATTATGGCCAAGGAAAATATGCCTTGTGGGCATCTCACTTGATGTTTTAACTTAGAGGAGAAATGTAATTAAAAAATGGGCAAGGACATCCTCACCAACTTGAGATGAACAAAAAGGGAAACATGGTGCTGGAGGGCTTTCATTTTTGTAATGAAAAAGTACGCTTAAATAAATGGGAAAAGAAAATATCCTTTTCTCTCTGTTTTCCTCTCTCACTGAATTACAGAGGGAATTTTTAATTTGTCTCCTTTATGAAGCCATCATTTTACTGAAAGGGGGAATGATTTCAAGCTTCTGGAGATAGGTAATATTGCATGTGTATGAATTTTTGCATGTCATTTTCTACATGTCATGTAAATTCGGCATTACCAGTTCTGCCTGTGATAAACTAATATGGGCCGATTGTGTACTCAAAAGGTTTTTTTTACCCACTTGTGCACAAATCCTCCTGTTTTCTTAGTCCCCTGTCTGAAGAAGCCAAACTGCTGCACTCACCACTACCAACCACCACATGAGCCTTAAAGATTTTAAATACCCATGTAAAAGACTAAGCACTTAGAGCACCTTACAAGGACCTTTAAGATTAAAGAAAGCTAGCATTTAGTCTCTTGGCTTAGAAATAATGCTCCTAATTATGAGAGAGCATCCAAAAGGACAGCAGTGTGAATTATTACCTCATTTCATGAGGTGAAATTTATTTGAGGTGTTACTGATAAACAACATTAAGGATGCATTTTGCAACCATATTTATAGAAATATGTCCATTGACAGAGAAACAAGCCATGGAGAGCAGGATTAAACCCCGCATGATTTATTTATAGCACTCTGCCGATGGATTGTGACCCAAATTGTTTTTGCCATGATCTCATTTCAGGCAGCTTATTGTGACATGTCTAAATTCAGGGTGTTTTTTTAAATTTTTTTTCCTTTTTCTTTTTGTTCAGCAGATACAAATCAAACTCAAAAGCTTAATCAGCTCCTGAGACCCACCCCTATTACACAGGCTGGAGATTTGCCAGTGAGCCCTGCAGCTTGTTTGCCACCCACTGCTCCCAGCATGCCTGTACAGACACACCACACGATGCAGCAGAGTGGAGAGGCTGAAGCTGCACAATTCTCTCTGAAATGCTGCTGTTCCCACCCATCCATGCACTGTGCTCCCCTCTTGTCTGCAAAGACACAGAGATCATCTTGTGGTGGTGGCACTTACATTTAATGCCGCTACAGAGAACATTGATCCTGTGAATTCAATGCCTGAAAAGGTTCAGCAAAATATGTTCTGAGGCAAATTAATCTGTCTGAATCATATCTAATCTTTCTGAAGAAACACTTACATGCTTTGCATTTAGACAGCCTTGTCTCTGTGTTTTCTCAGTCCAGTGCATTATCTAGTTAAGGGTAAGCTTTTAAATAAGGAAATGTCTTGCTTGAGATTAAAGTGCATTCTGAACATAAGTTGAATCAGGTGCTCTTAGAGTTTTTGTTCCTAGGAGGGTAACCAGCAATTAAAATAAAATGAGATCATTCAGTGCTCTACAATGTGTTTAAATAGAGATTTTACAGGCCRAGCGTGTAGTCCTTGCACACACAAAGGTAACTTCAAGGATTTTAGCAATACCAGCAAATAGACATTTTATCCCAGGAGGACTAGTAATAATGTTGACATTTCAGCCACACAATAAAGAAGTTCTGTACCCAAAATATTAGTCATATTATTTTCCTGGAGTGAATACAAACAAGTTACAATTCTGTGTGCATGACTGAAATCCCTGGTGTTACTTTGTTATGCAAAAACCTTTTAGAATTGACCATTAAAATGTCAGAAAAACCTTTTGCATCCAAAAAAACYTTCTCCTTCTCAGTACAATGTTAATTCAAACACATTTCTAGAAACAATACTTTTCCATTCTACATGTTGGCTAAAATTAATTACTGAATCTCTGTTAATAATCCCATGATTAAACAAACTTGAGATGACAGATGCACAAAACGTACCAAGGCTAAAAACACAGTTAAAAAACATGATGCTGTATGACAAGTTTTTTTTGTAAAGGGAAGAAGATGGTACACAAAAGCCAGGATGATTTAGTGACAATACAATTTTCAGTCATGAGGATTAGTAACTTTGTATGTTTTACCCAGTTCCACATGCTGCAATGGTTTTATTGTATCTTGCAGTGTTTAAGGTCCGCTGTTAATTCTCATTGCTAGTCTCCTGAAGATGAAAGGCACTAAGGAATTAACTTTATAATTATGAAATCTCTTTCATTTTGTAAATGTTTTCTTGCTCTCAGCTAGAACATGGGCCAAGAGGTATGTCCACTGCTCCTTCTCTACATCATCTTTTGAAGGGCAATACCACGTAAGTCTTCTTGACCTGAAATAATAACTACACAAATGGTTTCTCATCAAAGTAGCACAATAAAGATTATACTATAGAATGAACAGAGAATTTTTCTTTCCTTAGTACTCCTTCAGTGTAACTAATTCTAAAATCAGAACTCTTTTTATGGATGGGAAAATATTGCGTGAAGAGGTAGCAACGTATAAATACATTAAAGCTTTTGGCAATAGATAAGTTTTCTGCCATGTGCATCAAGCACAAGAATTATCATATTGTACATGAGGTATGGCTAGAGCTTGCTGCATAAACAAGGGAGAATGCAACCCAGAAACTCTCTCCATACTCTCTGGAAAGTGGTATTGAGCTGCCTTGACATCCAAAAATTAATGGTTTCCAACTGCAGGAATAACCAGTGCTCTGGAAGGAGTATGCAGGTTCAGCAGCTTGTTATCCTGGCAAGCAATAAATTTCATGAAGACATTCCCAGACCCTTATGGATGGGATTTGCATTATTCAATGAACAGATGTGAATTTCAAGTTCACAAATGTTCTGTACGAATTCTAATCATGGGTAATTGAAATTACGTCTGCCAGACATAGCTCTCATTGGTCTCCCATTTCTAAATTTAATTTGACTAGAACTACCAATCATCACAGTTGAACTCCAGCCTTATTTTGCTTGGATCTGACTGTCACAGCCCCCTAGAAGTGTTTGTAGCATCTAAGGATTATTTTAACACATCAGTAGCTAAAGTATCTCCCTTTCTCCTGACGCACTCTGACAGCAACACCTGGAGGTGGAACTGAAATGCTTGGGCAGCCATGTGGAGATATCCATTTCACATTGCCAACATTGTCAGAGCAGGATGGAGAATCTGGAAGAGGTGAGGAAAGAGACACAAGCCAAGGAAGATGTGATATTTTTGAGTCACCTGAACATCAAACACAAAATCTGCAGTGAAGAGATGCTCCATCTAAGTACATAATCTCTCAGTATCCTTTCCTTATGAACTCCTTTCTTCCTTTTCTGTGGCTGGGAAGACACCAGCAGGTATAGGCAATGCAAATTATCTCTTTTATTTGTCCTCAGGAAATTCTCTATTCTATTAAGGTTGTTTCATCTTCATCTTGAGTTACTGATACATCAAGAGAGCCAAGAACCTGGCTCTCAGTAGGTGCACACAGGAGATTTATATAAGCATGAAGGCATTTTTACTGGATTCAGCTTTGCAAAGTTTTGAAGTTCTGTTGCAGATTCAGCATCATAGCTCTTGTGTATCCAGAAAGATAAAATACAGCTGTTCCTCCTTGTTACAGTGCTACTCACAGTTAGATTTCCCTTACAAATTGTTCTTAGAACAATCCTCATGGAGAACTTTAACTAAGGCATTCATGTACAGTAGAAGTCACAAACCTAGGAAAAATGCCTTTCTAAACACTATTCAGTCAAGGTAGTTACAAGAAGAGCCCTAAATGTTTGTTTGTTTGGTTTGKTTTTTTGTTTGTTTTGGTTTTTGTTCTTGTTTGTTTGTTTGTTTGTTTGTGGTTTTTTTACTACAATGGATAAACAATACTCTATTGGTGGATCTGCCCAATGGTTTTGTGAAATCTAATCACGGAGCAAGTCCTTGCTCCGTGCCTGACCTATAGCCTGACAGCTTAACAGAGATTGCATTTGCCAGGCTGTGAGCACAGTACATGCTATTTGTTTGAGCACCCTCTTCATTGAATTTCATTGAATTTTGTGATAAGAAATATGCCTTTCTTGTTAATAAATAAGGATTCTGCTGTGTTCTGTTGACTTTCTTATTGATGCATATGCACTATTAATTCCTAAACAAATAAATGCACTGAACAGCTGCTTTAAGACTTAAATGTTAGTCCAAAGCAGTTTACTTAATTCTCTTTCTAGGTTATAGCACAATCTACTTCAGTTCTTCAAAACAGACATCTGGCTCCTGGTATTTTCTTGGGCATCCTCCAACAACTGAAAAGCAGTTTCTTATTCTCCCTCCCTGCTGAGTTCTCCCTAGAGGTCTGTGGCCTCTTCTGCCATTCAGTAGGAGGATTCTCATTGCTGGAGTATTTCCTTGCCTCTAAGCTCCCCTGAGAGCAGACTTCTCAGATACCTCTGAGAGGAGACTTGATCCAGTGTTGGCAGGTGGTTCTGGAACTCCTCATCTCCTGCAACAGCTGAGAGGAGAGGTT